TTGTTAGAAACCAAATGAAATTTTTCATCTTTCTTCTTGATTAATAAAGTTAATCATAGGCTTATGAATTATGCATTCATAATTATAGATATTTTGTTTCTCATGAGAAAAGAAGAAAAATATGAAAATGTTGATCAAAGAAAATTACATCTTTTACAATAGAAATAATAATTTTATGACAGGCGAATTGTTCATTTAAATTTTTTATAATATTTCCCGAAGATATTTTTCTTTTCGAATGTTAATTATATTAATGCAATAAGACAAGAAAGACGAAGTTTCTCCTCAAGTTACATTGTCAAATGACAAGAAAATGGTTTCTTATTGACCTTTTCTAATACGTTCTTATCATTTGGCTTATATCTTTTTCAAAGAAAACACTTTTGTAATATTTTAGTAATGCATGACTATTATGACAATTCATGCGTTGATTCTTATACTAAAAATAGCGTTTTGAAACTCTAATCCTGCAAACATTCATGTTATTAAATGTCTTGTATTATTTAATTAAATATAGTCTTGTCTTACTTCAATGCTGAATTAATTAATAAAATTTGAAAACTTCTTGAAAATATTTTTTTCCTTCGTCAGTTCATTTACTCTTCATAATAAAATCATATGTTTTACTATGTATGACACGTATCTGTGTATTCTTTGCTATTTTTCTTTTTCTGTTGTAATAGTAGAATGCAAGATGAAAACGCAGTATTTTATCGAACACTATTACAGTGTTGTTTTTCTGTTTCATTATTAGCAAAAAAGAAACAAGAAACGAGCATAAGCAGATACGTGTTCTACATAATAACAATATGAATCTATTATAATAGTAAATATACCGATCAAAGAGAATGATATTTCAAAAGTGTTTCCAAATTTTATTAATTAACATTTCAAATAAATTAAATCAATTGATTATTCAAGTGAGAAGAGACTTTATATTGAATTACATAATTAAAAAAAAAAGCAATCATGCTGATAACTGAATACATCCCTATCATATAGCTCATGTAACAACATTACTATCATAGTTGAATAGCGTACTAGCGTGTGTCGATTGATGAATATAGGGTTCAACAAGTCCTTGCCATTGTACTTTTAGTCAAATAAAAGTTGTTCATGTATTCATTTGTTGATTGACTATCAATTGATATAATATTTCTTGTCGTATTTCACTGTATTATTATATTACTAGTAGTAAAGTTTGCATTGTGATTTTTTTGACAAAGTTGAAATCCTAAAAACAAATTTGTTAAACGAAACACAACTAGACAATGATATACAACAAATGAGAAGTATTTTAATATGGGCTTTGTAAACGATTAATACTGCTTTAATTTTTAATTACTTTTCAAAATCTTTATTAAAACTGAAATAAGGCTGAAACCATTATATTTTCCCATATAATATGATGCATATACCATCTGCGATCAATATCTCGATTCTTTTCGTATTACTATTTATAAAATTGTTTAAAAACAGTCACTTGATTATATTGAGCCAAATCAGATCTGAAATAAATCCCTGAGCGAGAGTCTTTCCCACCCTCTCCTTTCTCAACAAAGTTTTCTCTACTTTTATAAGGAGAGCTCAAGGTGTTGTTCGGGCCATTTCAAAGAGAAGCCTTGATAAACTATAATCGATCCGAACAACACCATGTTTTGTCTTTATAATAGTAGAAAAAACTTTGTTGAAAAAGGAGGGGGTGGGAAAGACTTTTGTCCAGAGGTGTATATATTCGAATATTCGTTCGAATAGTCGATATCAGTATTGTTTTGATTGTAGTTAAGATTTATTTGATCATATAATTACTTTTGAATGTTTCTTTTTAGTGCATATGTTTCATCATTCTTCTAGATGGCTAAATCATGCAAAAAATGATACGAGTTGAGCCTGTCCACGGAAGGTGTTATTTCGTCACGCTTTGTTCATGGTGAATCAGAATTCGTGGACAGCTTTTCAATTTCTCATTTTGAAAAGCACAAGTTTTTGTCCAAAACTGCAAAAACATTTGATCTTAAACATTAAGTCGTTTGTACGTAATGAAACAAACAAAGCGTGACGGAATAACGTTTTTGAGTGAACAGGCTCAGTTACAATTAATTTTTGTAGTTTATGTCTTCTAGTGAAAAAAGAAAGTGGCACATAAAGAATACTCGAATTTAATCTTCAAAGACTGCCTTTAAGATACATTTTCTAGATAATAAGCTTATCTTTGTAAAGAAAAACCATATTTTTCTTGATCTGTCATTAACTAGGAACCCAGAACAACATTTCAATATTTTAAATATAAATAAGCTCAAAAGGTACTGTATGATGCAGATTTTATATGCAGTATTTCCAAATAACCTTATCATTATCATGATACTGGAATAAAGCATCCTCTTTTTCTTTTCATTTAAAAAAAAATTTATCATAATTACGTAGATCGATATACATAAATAACATTTATTTCTATGATATTTTACGACAAATAATAATAAAAATATCATTTTGCCCGATTTTCTATGCAAATTATAATGATTAACTTTCGTTCTTTTACTATTCAAAAATTTTTATATGTCCTATGACATAGTAATGTTCGAGTCTATATGAATTGAATACGTGTCAATCGACAACAAAGCAGAATTAATGAGAAATCTACATGATATAAAATACTAATCATGAGACTTATCCACGTAGGTGTTTATCTGATTACGTGTCTACTGTTTCCATTGTAGTTACTTTATTCAACTGTCATACAATACAATAGATAAAGTCAAATATTTCATAAAGTCCTGATAGATTCCTCTCAACAACGCCGTATACATTGAATTATATTAAAAAGTTATTTATAGAAAACTTGCTTTCACATTCAACAAGATCCAGTAAATTTCAGAGCAGCTAATGATATAATACAAACTGTTAAAATCTAAGTCAATCAATGAACAATATCAAATGTTTTATTGTAAAAATCCTAAGGTATTGTTGTTTTGATTGCATCTGATTTGAATATAAAACATAAAAATAAAATAATCAAGAAAACAAATATCTATTCTCGATGAGTCAATAAATCGAGATGTGGAACACATGATCTATTTTCTACTCTGAGAAGAAAATTAAAAATTATTTAATCTTAGAATTAAATAGATTAGACTTATTACTAACTTAAAGCAAAAGTAAATTGAAAAATTTCAGATAATTCTTTCGAATCTAAAATATAAATTTCTAAATAATAATTTTACGTTAAATGATTTAAACAAAAGTTTGAAAATTTAAAAATACGTACTACATTGTGACAAAGAAAATACCTATAGCAAGAAAAAAAAGTAATCTCACAATAAGAAAGAATAAAAATGGAGAAAGTTAAATGTGAATCAAAAGTTTCTCGACAAAATATTTGACTATTTCTCGCATCTTTAAATGCATTAGTCAAGAGTGAGAACTCTATTAATACTAGACTTTTATGCTGTTTCTCAATATATGCTATATACTTTTCCACGACTTTTGACTATTGAGCTCTGAGTGAACTTCGAAAAGGCTGAAAAATCTTTTTGAAGAAAAAATCTCAAATGAGACAATATTCCAGCCATGTTACAAAACTTTATCGAACATATTAGTACATACAGAAAATAAATCTCTACAAGTCAGTATTTTTGAATAACATTTTTTACAATCTGTTGAAGTGCAGTAACGACTTTTAAAAAGTTCATCGTAAGAAAAATGGTTGTTTTTCCGATTTCCACTTTTTCAACACAAAATGATCCTTCGCGTCATAGTTCTGCCATTTTTTAATGGATTAATCATAACTCTGCATTCTGGAGTCATTTAATAGAGTAGAGGCAACGCTGAAATACTATATATTTTTAGAACTTATTTGATTTCTACAGGAAGAGACAAGAGTTTCAACTTTTCAGAAAATTCTTTTGACTCCTGTCAAAATTTACTTATTGCTCAATAGTCAAAAGTTATAGAAAAATTCTAAGCATATATTTTGAGAGAGTGTAAAACTCAGTTTTCAATGAATTTAGATCCGTGAAAAGCAGTTAAATGTTTTGCCGAAAAACTTGTGGCACATCTCTTCGAAGCAAAGTTTATTAGAAATTTGTATTAAAAACCTCATTCAAATATCTATAATTTTTGTTTACAAAAAGAAGTAATATCAATTGTCATTATGTATACTTATTCAATCTTTATTTAAAAGAACTATGGTAGTAGAAATGACAGATATCTCAATATATTTCGATAAAAATATGACAACATTTTCTCAACCTGTCCAAAAAAAGGTTGCATTATGAAGAAGTATTCTTATCTTAGATAATTGTTCATAATTTTTAAATCTCATATTTTTCAATCAATTGAGAATGATCATTCGAGGTATTTTTATACATGACTTGCTTTTTCCACTAACACTTCGTGACAATTAGCGTTATATATAAAGATAAAATAATAATTGTAAGAACCAATTTTTATCTTCTTAATTTACATCGTGATTACTTAACACATAGAAAAGTAACTTGTTTTTCATAACAAAAAGCTATATAAACACGAAAAGAGTTCATACCATACCATCACTTTTAAAATATATCCTTAAAGTGAATCATTTCATCTTAAATATTTGTATTGTTTCTTAATTGACTTCATGCATTTTTCAAAGAACTAGAATAACCATGAGAAAATAGAACAAAATGCAGAAGAAGAACAAAATATTTTATGCTTGTTGTTTGATTGTGTGAGCTCTATATTTTTTTTAGATGCCTTACTTTTATTGTTTCAATATGTAAAATAGCAATTTAAAAATTTTATGTTAAGTTAGATTCTCTGTATGTTTTGTTAATTCATACGTGAGATTCTTTTGAAAGATGAATAAAATGTTGGGCTGTTTTCATGATCTATTACATGCTCTATTTAGAAAAGAAAAGATTGAGAAGAAATGTTCAGCAGCATTATTAAAGACTCTTTATATATGAATATTCATTTGAAATTTATTCATGTCATTTTTCTCAATAGAGTTTTAGAATAGCATGTCGAACATAACTGAAACAACTGCATCAGCAGACCAGATCATCGTTACACTCAATCTTATTCAAGTGAATATGGGTCGTTATTTATATCCAATTATTTTTAGTCTTGGAAATATTGGATCAATTCTCAATATCTTAATTTTAACTCAACGAGTTTATCTTCAAAATTCATGTTCATGTTATATTCTTGCTTCATCGATTATTAATTTATTCATTGTTAATATTGTGATTTTTTTTCATATGTTGGCCTTTGGTTTTAGTATCGATCCAACAACAACATCTTTCTTTTTCTGTAGATTTCGACAATATATTTCCCATGTTACTACGTTGTTATCAAAAATTTATATTGTATTAGCATGTATAGATCGATGGGCAATGACTTCAACAAATGTCAGACGTCGAGCTTTTAGTCGAGTAAAAATTGCTAAAATAATCATACCTTCAGTGGGTATCAGTTGGTTTATTATTTCTCTTCATATTCCATTAAATCACTTCATTGTTAATGGTGAGTATCGGATCGTTTGATCAAGTTTACTAGATGCAATCCTTCGCTATATTATTAGATTGTAATATAATGACCTTTTATAGTTATAATGTAATTGTTTGTTTGTTTGTTTCATGAGTTTTCTGAAGGAAAGTTGTTTTTTTCTTCAACTTAGACTGATAACCCATGCACAAGTTATTTTTTTACTCAATCCTTCATTTTATTCTTTTGACTTTATAGGTCGATGTATGGTAGTATTACGCGTTTATTCGATATTCTATAATATTTATAATACAGTTTTATCCGGTTTTTTGATACCGATTCTAATGATAGTCTTCGGTTTTTTAACTATTCGGAATATTAAACTAAGTCGACAGCGTGTTAATGTTCAAGTCAATATGAATCGAATATTTACCAATCAACGACAGGGCAAAAATAATACAAAGTCTAGAGATTACGAAATACTTATCATGATACTTGTCCAATTAAGTGTTTATCTCATTACATGTTTACCTTTTCCAATGTATTTAGTTTATTCTACTATTACAATACAATGGACAAAATCAAGTGTTCAATTAGCTATTGATAGATTTTACTCGAGTCTTACTGTTGCATTAACCAATATTAATTTTAGTACAACTTTTTATATATATGTGTTGACAACTCGTGTTTTTCGAAAAGATTTAAAGCGAATATTAGTAGAAAAACGATTATTTAAAATGTGTTTTGGTACTCAATTGGTTCCACCAATTATGAGAACAAACAATGGTACAATTGGAACTGTTGCAGTTGTCATGAGGCAACCAAAACCATGTAATATTCAGTCACGAAAATACTGACTAGTTCTCTTGTTTTTGTCATTTGATTGTAAAAATAAAAATAATCTACAGTCGGCGACAAGGGCTACCTTCGATTCTTTCCCTGTTTAAATTAGCGCTTAATTTTTATATACATGCATTACTAATATCGTTGTATTGAGTAAGAAAGACAACTTTTATCATAGCGTCAAGAAATAAATATCAACATTTTTTTTACAAGCACAAGAAAATACAAAAAATTATACAAATAGAAGAGAAAACAAATCAAAAGAAAAGCCATTATTTAACATAAGTAATCTTAACAGCTAAACCACATTTAGGGTGTGAGTATGAAAGTGTACTTGAACAATTTCGTGAACGACACCGCCACTCTACTACTGTTTTTCGTTCACGCTTCAGAGTGTATTGAAAACCATTATAGTTTAACACCTTCCCTGTCTGTTCAGTCGAAGTAAAATGAAGCATATTTCAATATAATTATAGGTGATAAATGTTTATTATAAAAATATATCGATCAGTCAGCTGTTCTTATTGATTCATTATAAGTATTTTTCTCATAGACTACGTAATGTACCCAACGAAATGGATCCAATTCTTGGTGTTACTGGTTGTTAATATAGACAGACACAAGCATGATAATTCGAGTGTTAAATGAAGTGTGGACACATTAGATAAAAGAACAATAGCGAGTGGTTTTTCATTGGGGACGAATTAGGAGTAAACCGGCGACAAAAGTTTAAGTGGGTTTTGTTTCTTTGCATTCTTCTTTCACATGAAAAGGTACTGATCTGATTTAAATGATGATATAAATAGTAAGAGAGGCTGATTAGATGATGCAACATTGAACGAGACTTTATCTGTCTATGTGGATTTTTTAGATATGGAAATAATTTTTTTCCGAGCGAATATACGTTTTAATAATTTCTTATATTTCGTATTTCCTAACCAAGAGGTTTGTGCTAAAATGGAAAAAAAAACTAAAGCAGTGAATAGAGAGTTTTTCGCTCTCTCTGTTGCTAAAGAAGATTCGATTTTCAGAGTTGGTCTTCACGTTCAAAATTTGATTTTAACGAGAATAGTTGGAAAAAATCGTAAATAGGTAAAATAGTTGCTACATATTCTCTCTTATCACAATGTATTATATGGAATTGCAAAGAGTATTGAAAATTAAACAAATTTATGTATTTGAAGTTCTAACACCGTCGATTTTTTCACGTCCATATTTAAAAAAAAAATTTGAAAAACACGACTAACTGTAATTTTTTAATTATTTTGATGGGAAAAACAGTCAGTTTTTTTTCGTCTATCTCCGCTAGAATCATATTTTTCAGGTGTAGACCAACTCTGAAAAGCAAAACCTTTAATAGAAACAAATAGAGCGTGAGATTCTTTATCAACTTCTAGTTTTTTTTCAGTTTAGCACAAATCTCTTGGTTAGGACATTCGAAATATTGAGAAGTGCTAAAAGTTATTCTGGTTCAGAAAGAAATTATTTTTATATCTAAAAAATCTACATAGACATCTGAAGTCTCTTCCGATGTTACATCATGTAATCGGCCTCTCTTACTATCTATATTATGACTTGAATCAGAACAGTGCCTTGCCACATGAAAGAAAATTGAATGAAACAAATTCGTTTACATTTTTGTCGCCGACTGTAGTCAAAGATAAGAATAAGCTCCTTTGTTTTCCAACAAAAAATAAAATAGAATCCAGTCGCCAACAAGTCTAAAGTTAAGCGTCAATCGCTCTTTTAATCTGACATATATAATCACTCATTTTTACTTTGAATGAAAAACTATCAGAATTGAAATATTCACAGTTAAGAAGCTTAAACCTGTAGTCAGTTTGACAAGCAAAGTAATATTGCGTTGTTTTCTTGAATATATATGTTAGCGTCCAATCTCGGATTGGCCTAGGCGAATCGTGGATGCTTACATTGGACTAGTCCAATATCGGATTGATGCAATTCGGTTCACTAAAATATCAATTACTCTTGAGATAGATGTTGGATTCGAATTATTTATTTGAAATTATGTTCGCACAATGCCGTTTTAAATATTGCAAGCGTTCAGGCAGAAGCCAAATTTAGACTGAAGAGCTTAATAAGAACTTTTCATAAAAGTTGTTGTTCTATAGAAATTTATTCATAACTCCTGAACTTTAACTTAAAACTGTTTAACGACGATTATGATAAACAAATTGACATTATGTGAACAAAATTTCAAAAAGTAATTCGAATCCAACATCTATCCCAAGAGTAATTGATATTTTAGTGAACCGAATTGCATCAATCCGATATTGGAGTAGTTCAATGTAAGCATCCACGATTCGCCTAGGCCAATCCGAGATTGGACTGAATCCGAGATTGGACGCTAACATATGTATATGATTTTAATTTTTAACAAGGACTAGTAATCAAACGAGATATATTCACATAATGTCATTTCAACAGAACTATAAAAAGAGACAATAGTTTAATGAAAGAGCTATACCAACGAAGTACAGAAGATAAATAGTCGTCGAAAAATTTCGATAGTACATTTCATAAATTCTCAACAAATGTGTATGTATAAAAGCAAATGCAAAAACTAAACAAAATTTCTATAAGGCATTATATTGAACACCTTATACCGTGTGAGACTATTTTAATTGTTTCAATCTTTGAAAATTATTATTAGATAAGAAAGAAATGTTTATAAACAAAAATAAATACTATATAACAATCTTTATGACTTAAAACAGCTGAGATCTCAATCTATTTCATCTAAGAAATTTTAATTCAGCTTCTTTAACTTTGATATTCATCCGAATAATTGAAATAAAAATCCTTCGTTAATACTTTTCACCTGTTGTCAATTTTTTTTCTTTCTCAGATATTAATCTATTGAAAATGGCATACCATTTAGATTAATTATTATCAAAACACAATCTCTTAATTCGATTGAATATGTATATGGTAGTTATAAGAATAACTATTTATCGTCAAAATACTCGAAATCTGGACAAATTAGGCTATTGTTCAGCGTGTAGTTATCTTTAAAAAGTTTGATTGAGCATATTCGCATGTCTAATCGCGGTAGTTTTTCTAAATTAAGAAGTTTAGGCAACTAGCATCAAGTATGAAATCAATGAAGCCAATCTTTTCTTCGTTGTTCATATCGATAATTAGATTTTATTTCTGATGTCTCATAATTTTTTCTTGTTCTAGTATAGACATTATATAAATAAAAATGATCTGCTCGCTCAACTAGTCAAGTTTTCTTACCTATGTCAAAGACTTATATTTGACATAACACAGTAAGGAGCGTGTTTGTTAAGATACTTTCTCTATTTTATGCTATATTCTTATCACAGAATGTCTTCAAAACAGATATAACGGTTGTCATACTATTAATTATAACATATATTGTTGGATCGAGCAAGAATCTGTTTAAATTTATATTGTTCTTAAACGATAAACATATCGAATATGTGTGTAGTAGTTAATGCACCCACAACGCTGATTGTTAAGCTTAATCTTATTCAACTGCATCCAGGTCGCTATTTGTATAGAATTATTTTCATTGTCGGAATATGAGAGAATTTCTCAACATCTTAGTTCTTCTTCAACAAAGTTTTTCTTCAAAATTTATGTTCACATAAAATTCTTGCTTTAATCGTAACTAATTAGTTTATTTATTTATCAATATCACCGTTCTTGTGCTAGTTTCGGATTTAGATATATATATCTCATGTAACACAATCACTGTCAATGATTTCTCTATTGTATAAGAGCGTATATGTGGCTATTTAACGTGTTCAATGCCGTGTTTTTTGCCAGATAAAAATTTTCAAAATATGAATTCTTTTATTAAGTCTAGCAAGGGAAAGTTTCTAAGTGTCAAATAACTTTTAAGTTGGAACTATGCGCATCACGTAACTTCTAATGATTGATGAATGCCCTGAAAAAGAGTTCGAACTAAAATTTATCATTATCGAGATATCGTATGTTCACTGTATTTTTAGGTAAAACGCCGTAAAACACTTTTACAATAAGTTATTCTCATTAAAGTCTGTTTCTATTTCAAAGTTTCAAGTCAAAATTCAGTTTTCTTGGTATTTCTGATGGAGACCACGGCTTTCTCCTAAAAACTACGAAAAAAAAATATGTCGATAGTAATAAACTATCAGTCCGAGCTCTTTTCAAAGTATTCATAGCTCATTAAAACCTACATACTGTACTTAGTCCTGACTTGAAAGCGATTGGACACATAGAAATGTTCCTTAGTTAGCTTAGGTATTCCTTCTCTTCATATTCCTGTAAATATGTATAAGATCAATAGTGAATAGGTGATGTCTTTACTATGCATATTCATAAAGATACGTTTAAAATATAATTAATAATATTTTTAACCAATATAGTTAGTTATTAGATCTATGACAGTTCCATAATTCGACGCTAAATACGCTACGATTTAACTAGATTTTTTATTCTAATTAAGATGATTATCTTTGGTTTTTTAACTATTCAACATACTACAAAAGTTCGATAACGTTTTAATTTTTGAGTCAATCGCAAAAAGGCAGAGTAAATATAGAATCTAGAGAATATGAAATGCTTATCATAGCACTTGTTCCGTTCAATACTTATCTCATTACATCTTCACCATCTTCACTGTATTTAGTTTACTCAATTGTTACAATTCAATAGACAAAATCAAAATATTAAACTAGCTCTCGATCAATTCTATTTGCATACTGCGTTTGCATTGACAACTCATATTTTTCAAAATCATTTAAAATGGATACTAGTAGAAAATCAATGATTCAAATTTTTTTAACTTTGCCATGGAAAGACATTTATCAACGATAAGACATAAAGCTATGTGACGCATTGATAGCCAACATTGAAGACTTGAGCATAACGACGCTGAAACCTCGTTCTTTTTCTATGCTTCATCTATAAAAACAAATATTCGGCCAAAATTCAGTGTTGAGATGGTTTTTTTTCATTCTTGATAATTGTAAAGGCAATTGGA